AAAAAATCAAATAAAAACAAAAAATTTAAGCTTTTGGAGAATGTTGAACAGTCTTTGAGACGTGCTTCAAGAAAAAGTAAAAAATATGCCGAAACTGTGCGACACTTTCCGAAGGTTGCTCTAAGGTGCTCATTTGGCGTAGGCTGAATGTATAAGAACGATCTTTCGAAACGGTTTTTGATAAAATCGTTGCATTTTGAAAACACTGAGAGACATTCTTTAAGTATGTTATTGTGCCTAAAAAAAACTCTTTCTCTGGTAGTAGTAAAGTATAAACTTTTTGGTAATTGTTTGATCATTTGTAATGTAAATTGTTTCAAAAAAATTCTTTGGCTAATTCTTCTCTCTTTAAGTCTGCTGCAACTTTGCAGCCATCATTACGCAAGCCTATATTGAGAAAGTACAAAGTAGTGTTTCTTCAAAAACCATTATTATTATTTTTCTCTTACAGTATTATTATTTATTTTTTCAATCTATTAACTACTCTTTAGAAATTGTACAATTTTTGCAGTTTCATACACTTTATGCCATGGTTAGTTCATAAAACAGAGATTCAATCGTCATGCGAGTGCGTAGTGCTTTCAAGTACTTACAGTGTCAGCTAGTTAGACAAAAATCTAACTGGTTTTTTTGACTGATTAACTACAAATGGCAAATTTTCTTCTAAAGTATCAAAAATGAATTTGCAGAGGCGTTTGCTCGAACAACTCAGACAATTACGTTCTTATGGAATATTGTGCAGGAGGATCTTTGAAAGACCGAATACATGAAAGTAACTTTGAAATGACAAAGGAGGAGATCTGTGAGTGGCTCAAGCAAATTGCCACTGGAATGTCTTACTTGCATTCAAAGAACATCGTTCATCGTGATTTGAAGCCTGCAAAGTAAATCTAGTGTTCTTTAGCCAGTACTGTATCATCTGTAAACTATGACTAAAACATTTTAACGTTTTAGTATTCTGTTTAAAAGCAATAATTTATTAAAAATTTGCGATTTTGACTGCTCACGGCAGTGGGAAACGTCAGTAGGCGGATCTATTTCTTTTCGCGGTACTGTCGCTTATATGGCCCCCGAGATGGCGCTCAGTAATCAGTGCTCTAAAAAAGTAGTTTTTTCTTCAGCGAAAAAGAGTTACATTAGTTTAGAGCTTTCTAAAAGCTAATTAAAGAAATAGCTTTAAAAATACTCGTTTTCTGCTAAGTTTCCTGAAGTGTTTCTTTATAAAATTTTAGATAGATGTATGGAGTTACGGGGTAGTAACTTGGGAGCTTTTGACAAGGGTAAAGCCTTATGACGGTCTCACACTATATCAAATGATACGCGGGTTTTATGTGCGGTTGGTTTTATAAAAAAAAAGTTGTTGCGTCTTACCGTAGACACTATTTGCATTGTTTATAAAGCTGAATAATAAATGTACCCTTGCAGCAAATTAAACCTTAAAATACCTAAGAACTTACCGCAAACGTTGGAAAAACTCCTAAAAATGTGTTGGAAGAGAAAGCCAGAAGAGCGATTAGACTTTGCCGACACTTGTCCCAAAGTTGCTGCTTTGAAGGTAGCTTTACATTTGTAATACCATTTTTGTTTGTGTCAACCTTTTCAACAATGGTTTTAATTTGATTTGAGAAGAAAAACACTATTTAGTCACTCATGACTTCTGATTAGAAAACACTTCATATTGTTTTGCCGTATTTTAGTCCAGCCCGGATTTTAACCGCATTAGTACAGAAGAGTGGACGGTACGAGTTTGCAAGTGGAATAATGATGCGAGAAATGATACTGAACGAATAAAGAAAGTAATAAGGAAAATCGGATGAAAATAGATATCCGATATTAGGTAATGCAGTAATAAGGTTTTGAAAAATAAAGCGTTTTGTTCTGGCATTTTTGTAGCTTTTGATGCTTTTACAATCTTTTCAATTTAAGTCTCGATTTCTAACTGTCTTCAACAACCGCAGCTGTCAATACACTTTAAATAACGCTGTGTTTACGCCACTGACAGTAATTAACATGCGTTTAGAATTTGAAGATGGAAGAAGCATTGGCAGAAAAAGCAGCATCAGTATCATAAGAAGCTAGATGTGAAGCACATAAGCGTAGCTTTTGGAATCGAAAGATACAACAGTATACAACAGAAGAATTATTGAAACAGAAGTGCAGGAAATAATAGAGTCAATAGAAATTGTGTTTTGCTGAAGTTTGCTCAAGCTTGATATATCTTTAAAAAATGCAGCTTTGTAGTTTTCAAGCGCAAAAATTTTTCAAAGAGTGGAGCACGAAAAGCTGGTTATCTACATTACTAAGCTAACAATGACTTCAAAAAATTATACATCTAATTTTTTAGACGTAATGTGTGATCTTCTCCTCTGATTTTGCAATAAAGACTTTCTACGTTTCCGACTCTTTGCCTTTCATCTCTGTATAATTGTACAGCTCTTAATAGAACGTCTCACAATTAAAGCCCAGTTTTCTGTACTCAGTAATTTTCTTCCAGCATAAACGGTTGAAATAACTGTGTTTAAAAAAGAAAAAAGATCTACAGCAAATTATCAAATTTTTTAATACAGCAGGAAGTGCTTTAAAGATTGATACTAGAAAGTAAATAAGGAATACAGATTAAAACAGTGACAAAACCAGAGCTTGCGAAACCAGAAAAAAGTAATGCAAGACAGGAAAAAGAAAGTATGATTCAACTGACAATAGAATAATTGAATTAGAATAATTAAGGTGAACTAACTTCTCTTTCTTAAACATTACAATGAGTAGGTAATGTCGCTAGAAAAAAGCGAAAAGGTCGAAGAGCAACTCACAACCAAAAAAAAGCCTCAGTAAAATATAAAAAAACCGACTCCAAACTATAACATGAAGATCAGCCACGAAGGAAGAGCAAGAAGCCCAAAGATGAATCGATAAAACATATCTGTAAATCGCACTGAAACCGACTTACTCGAAGATGAAAGCACGACCGAGACTATATCTCAAGCCTAAAGTTATAAAATTATGCAAACTATTTTGGTTAAAGTTGGAGGAATTGGGATTTGCATTTATTTCATTTAAATTATTCAATAAACAATAGAAAACTGTATGTTAGAAACCTGAAGCTGTAGACTGCAGCTCTTTTAAGACAGCAGCAGACACTGATACTTACGTTTCTTCTAACTTTTTTTGATTATAAACTTGGTTGTTTTGGTTACGGTGCTGCTTTCTTTAATTCTGTTAAAATTATTCCTAGACTTAGTAGAAATGTTATAATAAATCTCGATATTCCATCTACTTATAAATCAGGAAACGTGTGGCAGGCTTGTGCTTATTTACTATCGCATTCCTAAATTTCAAATGAGATTCTGCGAAAGGTAAGATAAAATTTTGAAATAATCAGAAAAAAAAAGTATAGCAGAAAAAGAAGGAAGTAGACCAGGAGAAGCTTAGAGAAATCTTCAAGTTGCCAAATTTATAATGCGTGGTAAATAATAGGCATAGCACTGGGCAATGCAGACATTTTTTCAATAAATATATTTAAAACAAAGCTAAAATAAAACTAATAAGTTATTCTATTTTTTTTAGCTATTTAGTTTTCAACAAACTCCATTATATAATCTATTTGCATCATTTAGAAAGAATTATTAACAACGGATTTTCATGTCTCGTGTGAATAGTTCTCAAGTCAAAGGGCTTTGCAGTAATGTTTTTGAACAAGTGCCAGCCTAGTCACCCTCACGAAAACACCATCTATAAAACTGCAAGTGAACAGCATGTTTTAATTTCCTTTAAATAATCAGCGTTCGTTTTGATGACACTTTTAAATTCAAAAAATTTCACTTAAACGCTTGCTGGTTTTATATGAAATAGAGCCAGTAATTAGTAAGAAAAAAGTAGGAGAAACAAAGAAAAGTTTCTGGCTTGGTTTTTACCCGGTTTCTAATAAAAACTTTCTGCGTTGAATGGCTTCTATATTTTATTCTATCTTACTGTATTAAGTACTTAGTTTGAAGAAAGAATATTTCACTGTTTTTCTCTAAGTGGAATGAAATTAGATATCACAACTGTAGCTTTA